CAAAGCCAGTATTCCCATCAGCAACAAAAGCTGTTGATTTACAGTACTGTACCTGTAACTATAATAATAATAATAATAAACTTTATTTTATATAGCGCCTTTAAAGGTGGCTTCTCAAAGCGCTTTACAGGATGACAATAACAATAAATAAGAAGACTACAACAATAAATAAGAAAATTTCACAAGACAGGACACAATTATAATTACAACAATACAACAATAACAATAGAGACCGTGGAAGATGGTATTAAGAAGAGCAGAGGGGTGAAGAATGGAACCAGTTAAGTAAAGGCTTTTCTGAAAAGGAGGGTTTTGAGTCTGGATTTGAAGGAGTTTAGAGAAGGTGACTCTCTAATATCCTTGGGCAAGGAGTTCCAGAGCTTGGGGGCATAGCAGGAGAAGGCCCTGTCGCCCATACAATGTAGACGGGCTTGGGGGACAGTAAGGAGGGCAGAATTTGAAGAGCGGAGGTTGCGAGGTGGGGAGTAGGGCGATAAAAGTTCAGACAGGTATTGAGGTGCCAAGCCATGTAAAGCCTTATAGGTGAGCATGAGGATTTTAAAGTCTACACGGAATTTGACCGGAAGCCAGTGCAAGGACTCCAGGATAGGAGTAATGTGAACACTTGCACTAGACCTGGTCAGGATTCTGGGTGCTGAATTTTGGACATACTGCAGCTTGTTCAGAGTAGATTTAGATACCCCAGGGAGCAGAGCATTGCAGTAGTCAATTCGAGAGAATACAAATATTCTATACATCCAAAAGCACAACAAAATATGTAGAATACACAGCCTCTCTGGCCATTTCAACAGAAAGCATTGTGTTCACCCTGCAAACTCATTCACTTCATCTCTTGCAGAAAATGCCATGGTTGAGAAAACTAACTGACCGTTCTAGGGAACAAGTTTGAGCAGGGAGGGTCAAAAACTTCTCTAAAGTGGTAGTTTCCTATTTCACGTCTCCCAACCATGATTAAACAGAAATTTCTGTCTGCCTCCTTTTACAGAATTACCAGGACTTTTATTACAAAAAAGACATCAGAAGCCAAGATTACCCTAAAACCTTCCACCAACTCAATGATAGTCTAGTTTCTTGTTAAAACCTCTTCATTCTTTAACAGATTTCAGCTTTTCTCACTTGGAATGTGTCCATTAGATTTCCATTCATTTGGACACTTTTTTGCCCACGCATTTCTTTTGTTCTCCTTTGCTTAGTATCCGAGCATAATCTCTCTCTAAAGAAGGCTGAATGACCGAAATGTACTTTTTCTTGTAGTTTTTAGTGTGGAGTTAATCTCTACTTACAAGTTTAGTCATGTCTAACACTTCAGGTTCAGCTAATGAAAATTAATCTTGTTCCAATTTCAGTAGCTACCAAACAACAACTGTTTTTTTTAATTTTGTTTTGTATTCAATTACTTATAAAGCAGGTGGCATTAGTTATGTACCTCATGAGTGAAGGGATTCACTCTATTATTCCTTTACTAAGAAGTGCTGTTACTCCTTAGGCAACACATTGAAAGAAACACAACAGTTAGATTTTGTAATGAGGTTCTAAATAAATACATATGCGGTTTATTTTATTAATTGTATTATTAATAATGAACCAAACAGATTTCCTCATCCATAACAGCTATCACTTTTTTAGTAAGATTCCTGAAAATATGATCATTTATGAGGCTTTTTTGGAGGAAGTAGAAAAATTCATTGACTGATTTGGAATGCAAATTGCCTGGCTTTGAAGTGCAGTGACTTCTAAATGATTTAATGAGACAGACACAGTTGTCAAAAATTCCTCAGGAAAAGGAGACAAAAATAACCATGCTTAATTTATAACATGCTGTTCCTTATAGATTCCAGTAAACTGACAATTGCCCTGGGAACACTAAAGCCAGGAGAAATGTCGAAGATTTATCATAGCCAAATCTGGAAGACTGCTGATCTTTACTTGTGTTTCCTGGTGGCTGAATGGGTCTCCAACATCATCAGAATGCATAGTAACTGCCCAACAAGGACCACTGGTATTAATCACAGATAAACTCTCCCTGCTGTTACTGGCGTAAGCACCAAATCTGTTCATTAAACCTGCCAGAGCAATTGAAGCTCACTTAAACACTTAATGCTTTTGATTCAGAAGGAAAAAAAAGACCATATTGAATTTCCTGTTCATGAAGGTAACTGCTTTGATTATGACTTAGTACATTATATTTGTATGGTACTTTAATTTCTAACATGTAGTCACGCACTTATATTTTGTACTTGCTGGCTATACTATTTATATAATAAAATAGTAACTAAGAGTAAGCCACTTTCTTGAGTTGGTTTTGCACTGCCCTTGGCCCATTCATACATGGAGTAATCTGAGCTCAAGATTCAACAATAAAAAAGCCCAGCATGATGTCCTACACTCTTCCAGGCAAATCAAATTGATTCAAATAGCTTTTTATCCTTGTGAAATTTGTAACATTAATTCCTTTTTTTAAGTTGTTTTAAATGATGAAAAGCCTGCTAACAATTTAGTTCATTCCAAACTCAGCAGGGTAACCCACTTTAACAAGAACACTTAGCACATCTGATGGATGGATAGTACTATGTTCATGACCACCGAACATATGGGGATATTAATAATCTACACAAAACTCAAAACACATGAATCATCCTGCAATTAAACAAGAGATGTTTTTCTGATTTAGAATGGAGAATGGAAACATTTCTAAGAACAGCACAGTTTACAAACAAGTGTGAAAAAAACGGCTATTCTAAATATACCATTTAGAATATAATAAACTATTTCTCTGAATCAGCTAAAAAACAAACCTGAAAAAACAGATGTGAGAAAATACATGTCTGTCCAGGACTGACAGTTGACACAAGCCATGTTCAGCTTTTGTGAAGATTTGTTAAAAGAAAAATCATTTTTAAATTCTACTTTCTACATAAAATTATATTTATTAATCTTGCCAACCCTTTTCCGTTTACAGACATTCAGGCGCAAGTCTTTCAGGAATATTATATGTCAGGCGTGTCTTCTACTGTATATTTTACTTCTGGGTCTGAATGTGTGTGGCCTGGGTGTTACTCTGGTGTTTTTCTGCTGTTACATTTGTAAAACCTTGGAAAAAGAAAATCAAAATATGGGATTTATCAACCCCAAAACTCCAAGAGCATACTTATACTCTTGAAACGCAGCTTCAATGTCACTAAACTCTTAAGGTAGTTTTTCATTAGTAAATTCCTACCAATGCATTTTCTGTAAACAGTTCTACAGTTCTGTAAACAGACCAACAGTTCTGGAATTCAAAGTGTGTTTTGCAACAATGTAATATTTTTGGAACTCTGTTTTTAACTGTTGTTAAAGCAGAATTATTTCCACTTCAAATGGTAAACTTAAAAAATAAATCTACTGTATATGGCAAAATAATTCAAAGTTTATCTTCATTTACCAGAGGGTAAATTCACCTGTAAATGCACCTGCTATCTAAGTTAACAAAATGTATGAATATTATGAAATAAAAAAAGATTGTCTACCAATTGAAGTTTGAAATATAGTGTAACGCTTACGGCCGACAAGCACTGTGTGTAAGAGCCGGCGTACCAGAGCGGGTGACGTCACCGCCCTTCCCTGTGATAGCAGGACCACAGCTACTGGGCTGTAGAGAGATCTCTCTTTGGCTCACGGGGCTAGGTCGCTGCAGAGAGACGCGGAAGTCCCGGGTTCGAGCCCCGGACGGTGCAGGGGCCGACCTAATGCGGCAAGGGCGCCCGCCTGAGCCCCCGTTGCGTTACAATATAAACAAATGTAATACAGGTATTTATGGTAATTAAATATTTATATTCAAATATAATAACTAATATAATATATACAGTAGGTTCAAAATATTAAATAATGTTCCAAAATATGTTAATTATTATGGTTTTTCAAATATTAAAAACATTTTAGTTAAGTGTGAAAAAGACAAACCCTGTCTTCATCCCCTGACCTCTTGTGATGTCTGGCATACTGTAGATGTTACACACACTTACCCATGCACATGCTCTACATGTTCATATTCACCAATGTATTCTATGAATTGTTGTTGTCTTTTTGTCTGTCTTCAAGTACCGTTACACATTGCTTTGCCTTGTCCTCCATGTTACTTGTCGGTTGTCAGCCATCTTGTGTGAGTTTACTGACTGTAATGCATTGAAATAGAGTCGACCTGCCCATTAGGGGGAGCCAGAGGTGGGGTTAAGGGTTTATATTTCAGCCCTTGTGCTCATGGACATAGGCCTGTTTTTTGAGAAAGGTTTGAGCTGTTCTTTAAGCTTTTCTAAGATGTGTTGTTCACTGTAATGGTGTTTTTGCTTTCTAGTCAGAATTTGGCTTGGAGAATTTGTTCAATAAGAAAACAAAATCTTAATACCATATCAAACATCTTTCATATATAACCTTATGACAGTAGTGTTTCTTCCTGGAGCTACTACTGGGACGTTTATCCCATTAAATCTTAAACCAATTTAACTTTCACCCTTAGGAATGAAAGGAAATAAAATAATGGACATAGTCTCATTATAAATTCTGTCTGTATACCTCATGAATAACACTTTATAGAAATAACGTTTTAATAGAAACACATTTAAATATTAAATCAGAGAGTATAAACATAAAGCATAAGCCTAGTTAAATAACACATAGAACCCTTTAAATGTGCTACAATTAATGTGTTTAAAGAATCTGTAAGTTAATAGATATCTATATACTATACAAGATCAAATCAAGGGTTTGTGTATTGTGTTTTTTATGACAAACAGAAAACAGTTGGGAAGCAATATTCAGATGTTCTAATCTTTTGAATGATGGAAACACAGCTATGTTGTCAACCCGTCTCAGAGACTGCATCTTCTGATGTACCTTTTCTTTATTTGTGAACGGTTATTAGTTTCCTCTGTAGAGATCTAATTTACAGCTCTTTCCATTGTTTAAAACAACCTGGGCTCATAAAAACAATATCTCCATGTGTAGGCCAACAACAAAACAAAAGGTTGGATTGAAATCTATAGAGACATACTGTACAAACTGTATTTGCTATGTAAATGTATTCAGTATACAGTGTTTTTTGTAGTTACAGCTCACCCCTGCTCTGCTATCATAATAACCTGGACCAAAATAAAAAAGAATACCCAAATTTAAATTCATTATTTTAATACCATGTAATATGCAGCACTTGGTTATTTGGCCAAGTATGAGGTTATAGTACATCTCTTCCAAAAATCAGCAGTCTACATTCTTCGAAACAAAGGCCTGATTTTATTGCAAAATGGGAGTTGCAGGGAATGATCTCAGATGAATCTGTAGCAGCATATCCTTGCCAGGTCTGTAGCTAACATAGAATAGAACCTTCTCACAATACCTCAATTGCCTATTATGATCAAACTTGAACATTCTGATTCCTCAATGGGTAATACTCTCTATAAAATGGACTCTCCCAACTGAGACCAATAATATGTTCAATTTGCTTTCCCCACCCCATGTGAATGACATGCATCAAAGAAATTAAAATGTCATGTTAGTATAAGGAAATAATATAATGTGAGATAATGCTACTTGTCACTGGCAGTGCTCACAGATTCTCTACAAGTGGAACTCCTTCAGATATGAGCAGGGGGTGTACCAGTAGAATACGAATATTGCTCTGCACAGCATGTGGAGCTGAGCTGTTGCACCAGCCAAAAACAATGACAATTCAAATAAAATACCTTCTTCAGATAAAGGACATAATACTGTAGGTTCTGCATCTTGAGATGGAATGTTTCTCTACTTCCATCTTTATTTTTTTAATGGGATGCAATCCTTCACAACAGTTTGATATCCTTATGATTTTATACTGTATACACTCACAAAGTTCTATATGTTTCTCATACCCTGTCTTTCATTTACGGACTTCAGGCATAACCTGAATCCTTAAGAATTACATGTTTTACAGTAGCTTCCCCTGAAACCATGTGGTACTATAGTCAGGTGGTTAACATGTCACTCCTGTTTGATGCTGGGGATGTTGTTCCAGCGACTCTCATCTTTGAGTTGACCTCATGGTCTGAACAGCTGCAGTTTGCCATCAAGGGTGGCTGTCAAAAGCTGAAACAAAAGACACAAACATTTTAATATCATTCTTTAAAGGGAAACTGCAGTGTTTTTAAATTTCAGTAACAAAATAAATTAATTGACAGTATTGCAAAGTTTTTACGGCACAAAATTGTGAATGTTGTTACAAACCACTGCTCTCACCATAGGCGAGAGTGAGAGTTTGCAAGAATTTCCTGCTCACAAGTCACTGTGATGACTAAGGTAATGTGATGTACGAGCGAATAAGTATAGGTTGTGCAGGAGACATTTCACCACATTTCCTACATGATCTGCATGCAGAGTTAACTAAGTAGTATTTGTCGGCAAAACCATTGAGAGCAATGTTTCTATTAGTCTAAAAGAGATGTATTCACAAGCCTACTTATTTACAATGCAATAGGGCCTTTTCACATCACCAGACGTTTTGTGGCCTCATTCTGAATTGCAGAATTCAGAATGCGATTGCGCATACCTGGAAATTTCAGCTATTTGTGATGTCAATTGGAGGTTTTACACATTACTGTGTACATTTTACTTTTATTGTGGTTTGAAATGCACTCATCAATGCCGATTCTTTCTAACCCAAAAATGTAAAAATAGCTTTGCAATTTCTCTTTCAATCTGATTTTAGCTGATCTACATCACAAGCATATCCACCACACACAGAGAACAGCAGATCTCCTTTACATAAATAGGTTAAGACCCTCAATACAATACTGAATATTATCTCTTTCTCTACGATGAATATTCATCTTCATTGTACAGCTGAATGTTTAATAACTCAATTTTCTTGAGTTTTATTTCCAAGGAGACTGTTTTTCATAGTCATTTTTTTATTCAATTTATTTTATAACATGAACAAAACAAAATGTTCATCCTTTAGTGCATGCTTGGATGTTGACATATTCCATGGGATTTTGCATTGCTTTCAATCTTCAATCTACAGCATGTTTGCTATATTAGTAATTCCCAAGAGTGGTAATCTGTATTTGTTTATACGTTTGTTACAACATGTCTTACAAATGTCTTCAAAATTCTGCCAGCTCCTTGAGTATTGCTTCACTGAAAAGGAATCAAATCAGATGGGGGTGGTTCAAAATATGTTGTAACTGAAATCTGTGTTAAGATGAAGCTGATGAAAAACTAGTTACTCTCAGCAGCCTTCCTCTGATAAACACTGGAACAAAAGGAAGGTACAATAATCAGTCTTTATCTTACACTCCATGAATCATTTATCTGTCCAACTGCTTTTACAGTTTTTCCAAAAATGGATGCATTTGTTGTAGGGAGGATTTCATTTCCCTTCGAAAAATATTAATTTGCACAAATTACATCTAGCTAATTCTGGCTTTTTTATAATAATGTTTTAAGCAAAAAATAAACAGTCTTGGAAAAATATATAAAAAAGAAAGGGCAGTCCCAAAACATGAAACATGAACAGCTTCACCTGAAAAAAACATTTATTTTATTATTATTTATTTCCAATGAAAAAAGCATCAAGGCAAATATTCCTAACTTAATTATTTAGAAGGAAACAAAATTAACGAATGGATAAATTTGTAGTAAGGACTCACTGGATAACACAGAATGTAAAAAATCTAAATAACATTTGTATATTCCAAATATATTGAACTGATGTTTTAATCTTCAAATAATGAAGATATAAAGGTGCAGTATGTACAGTGGTACCAAGATGCTAATTAAATGACATGGAGAATTACTAATACTAAGGTGAATCGATGAGTTGTGGCAAATATATAACATTATATTAATCTTCTTTTGTCATTGCTGTTCCAGTATTGTTAGAGACTGCTAAACAGACTCCAAGGAGAATAATGGACATGGTTTTAAAATAATCTATACAAATGGCCTGAAAGGTGTGTAGTGCAGTTATCTCATTAAGTCTCCTGTCAACACAGAGCTAAGAGCAGTAATAGAACGAGGCCTGCTTTGGAGCAGATGAACAGACATGGAAAATGTAATTGCATGTCATCTTATTCTAGAGTCTGTATATTTAACTTACACAAAATGAAAAGTTTTAGTAACAAGGTTGTTGAACATGGAATCAATGCAAATATAATATAGATTATGTCACTACTGTCAGTATGAGGCAGAACATACATAACATATTTTTTACAAAAATAAACACTATTTATTTTTAAATAAAAGAAATATCCACTGTTTCCCTGCCAAGATGGCTTTGTTGTGTTGAAGAAGTTAAGATAAATTTAGGGTCACAGCAGTCCTCATAATTACACCATACTATAAAGGCCCCTAAAGAGCATTACTCAACAATTATGGAGCTGAGTGCCACCTCACCCAGAATGAAGAGTCAGAAAGGCAGGAAGTAGTTTCTGACCTTGAAGGCCAAAACTGCAGACACTGCACTTACGTGTGAAAATTCAGTGGGCCAACTACCAGAGCTCTGTGATAAACAGCTCTGCTCCATGAGGGATTTTATTCTACTCTTAGAGAATAAATCAATATCTTTCCTATAGTTAAAGCTATCTGTGCCATTCTAGTGATCATCCAAACACACGTCCGCAGTTGGAGGAGAAGGTTATACTGAAGTTGCTCGGTTATCTGCCAAAAAATCATGCAAAAGGATGGATATTCTCCAAATTACCCAGCACCTGTACTGTGACAGCATCAAAACTGCAAGCGGCAAATTGTCAGAAAAGGAAATATCCCTGTTTCAATTCTAACTGGCTGAACAGGAAGTCAAAAGCCACTGATCTCACTCCTGCTTTCTTGGCCTGAGGTAAGCCTCTTAACAAACAATTCTACAAAAAAGGCTACATTTCCCGGCTATCCCTAAAACTGAAAGATCACAGAGGATCTCCAGAGCACAGAGCACAGACACGTACTTTTAAAATTACCCTCCTTGGCTGCACTGATTGACAACTCAGAAGCTTAGATGCATACAGTAACATTGGAATTTCAGAGCTTTACTGCTGTTATTCTCGGTACAGTGCAAAAAAAAAATGTTTTGATCCAATGTAGAAATCCCTTTGCCAACTTAGGCTGCAGCTTCCTGCTTTACCTGGCCAAGACTAAGATCAACCAGGGTGGTCAATTCAGTCTGTTTGACTTGACACCACAAGTGTCAAAACAGAAAGGTTTGTCGGGGAACTGGAGGGAAGCGCTGACCAATTTACTGACTGAATCTGCAGCTGTACATCTAGACATTGGAATTAGATCTTTTTTTCTGGCTGCTCTTTTTTTTTGAATATTCCTCGTACAGCATCTGCTTGGATTTCTTTAAAGCACAGATGTCCTGATTCAATGAAAATGCACAGAGATAATATGCTCTACTTTACTGTAACTCTCATACATTATAGCACCATTACTGAAGAGCTTGTGAAAGATCTTGAATAGGCACAGGGACCTTTGCACATGAAAACAGCCTCAAAACAAACAGAACACAAAAGGCTCAGGGTTTTATTAAACTTTTGGTTAATAATCAAAACAAATCTTCAAAACAAAAATCATCACATTAAGCTCTCCAAATGCCATGAGAAACCTCTCTCCCTAGACTCGCTCTTGGTGAATCTACACCAACCGTTATATACACAAACAAAAGCTTAAATTAAACCCATGTGAAAATGTGCATTATAATTAGGAGTTATACAATTAGTGACTACACCTAAGTGCACAAGAGCAATAATAATAATAATAATGAATAATTGCTTACATTTATATAGCGCTTTTCTGGACACTCTGGACAACCTGCCACAGACTGATGTACAGGTATCTGCTTATGGACTTGTAGGTTAGTGTTAGACAAGTAGGATTGTAATCATGGAAGCAAAATGGTATTTTGTTTTTAGTCTGGCAATGAGGGTCACAGCAGAGTGTGAACTGTTGTTTTACTCACCTATTCAGTGTATTTCTGTGTTCTGGATTTCTTACACTGCATTTTTGCCTAGCAAATTGGTGCTTACTTATGGACTAATTTAACATTTTTGTGGTTCTGTCTTCTTGCGTCTGCCTATGTTATCTTTTTAACATTAACTACAGAATATGCTTACTTTGTTCTTTCCTGTATATCACTGATCTGCTTTGTGTTACATGTGTTCACCTCCCAGGGAATGGGGTTTCCTTTATTGTTGTGCTTTTCAAATGTCTGGAAGAGAAGATTTGTAATCCTGGAACATGCATGTCTTGACTTCACCTGTCATAGAGCAATGTACATGTTCCCATTTGAGACACCAGAAGGCTGTTCAGATTGCTTTGCTTCAGAAGATCCATTTCAAGTCTACTGATATTAAAATATTTCAAAATGAATACTTTTATTTCTTGCACCTAATTATTTTAATCCACTTTCTGACCTACTTATTGCCTATGACTTAGAATTTCAGAATATGCATCATTTTAATACACCACTAGAAATAGCTTCAACAAGTATGTCTCTGTTCTTTGATTGCAATTATAATGGTGCAAAATATCTATACATTTTTTCTTCTAGCTGCAAAACAGACTCTAATATTGGCCATATTTTTATGCAATTTGATCCATTTTTAATGTAGTACTTTACCTGCACAAACATACTTCAGTCCATCAAATGTGATCATGTCTTGGTCCTGGATTTATTTTATTTGGTACAAGGATTCACTTACAGTATATAATAGCACACTCTTCCCCATTGTGTGGTGTGAGTCAAATTAAATTTCTTCTATTTCATGAAATTTGTGGTTTTGTTTGTACGTTTTTGTCAATTTAGACAAAAAATATTTGAAAAATAGTATGGTGAGAAACATGTATGCATAAAACTGTTTGTTTTAAAGATGACTCATATGCAGCAATTAATTTTGCTTTGAATTTTCCTGTAAAGTTTATTTAAAGGATACCAAAACCATGGGTAAGAGAACCAGGTCAGTTCTGTTACTCTAAACAGTTGCGTGAAGAGACACACCAGCTGCTTGAGGCATGAGAACAGATCTCGCGGATGAATCCAGAGTTAAGAGAGTTGTAACACATGAAGGAAGCTTGTGTTCAATGTAAGATATACC